CATGCCCCTCCTTGCTTTCCTGGCACATACGCACTCTTTTGTTGAAATTTTCCATGACCGTTTTGCATGACCCTCAGTAACACTCACGAACAGCTTCAATGTTTTGTGTTGAACGACTTGTTGAAGGACGGCCAGAGTGTTTAAAATCACTAATTGATCCAGTCTCCCTAAATTTTTTAATTAATCTATTCACAGTTGATGAAGTTAAATCACTATTCTGACCATATTTTGCACGAAAATTGCGAACTGTAGCTGCCAAACCTTCATTATTTTTAAACTATTGCTCAACAATGAAAACGCATTCTTCTTTCACGTAGTGCTCCATTTTTAATAACCCTGAACTGTCAGCTGTCACACTATCTTTTTTTTCCGTTGGCAACACTTTACGGCACAAATGGCGTAAAATTCAAATTTTGCGTGAATTTTGGGACACCCTATACCAGTGGTCAGCAAACTGCGGCTCGCGAGCCACATGCGGCTCTTTGGCCCCTTGAGTGTGGCCACAAAGTTTCATTCGCACTGTACGTGCGCACCCGCATGTGGTATTTTGTGGAAGAGCCACACTCAAGGGGCCACAATTTGCCGACCACTGGATTAGACGAATCCTAGAGTGGCTTCTGGAATTTGAAGTGTTTCCTCTACCAGTAGTCATGAGAATAGAGTCCACTACAAGAGGGAAAATGGAGAATCATGAAAAAGTAGGTATTGAGTTAAATAGCATCTTGCCATCAGCGAGAAGCTGTCAGTCAAGGCAGCTCTCCCAGGTCTGAGACCAGGAAGGACTTCTGGCTTACATCTACTCTTCCAAACAGGCCCCTGAGGGAGACATCGTCACCATCTCCACTTCCCAGATGAGAAAACTGAAGCTCAGGGAGACTTGCCCAGGGTCAGGCATCAGTGAGAGGCATTTCTGAGAGACTGCACAGCCCAGCCATGCTGCCTCCTGCCAGTGATGACAACAGGCCCAAAGTTACCAAATCTGGGTTCTCCTTGCAGCTTCTCAAGCTTTACCTCCTCATCTATAAAATGGGTGAGTGACGAGCCCATGCCCCAGTCTGACCAGAGACCAGCCCTGCAGTCATTCTGAGGCCTGCAGGAACTGTTATTACGTAAGGAGTGCAGTCTCGGTGCCAAGATTATCTATAACTGATGTGACACAAACAGGCCGTGCTGTGCTAGCTCAGCCAGCGAGGCCCTGTCCCCATCTCTCCCCCAGCCCACGGGGGCTGGGATGCTGCCTTTGTTCCACAGGCACAGACCTGGTAACAAGGCAGCCAGGAGCTCAGCTGTAGACATTTTTTCATTATTTTCCACCCTGTTAACCTCCATCACAAGTGAGGCTGCTGTCAGCCTAAATGAGAACTGAAAAGATTTATCTCACTTGTCCCCTCGGCTCAGCTCTTGGGGGGCTGGGGGGGGGGGACCCTTCATTTCCTAAAGGCCCTGATGATCTTTTCTCTTTGAGTCACTCCCACCCAGGAAAAAAGATGTGACAGTGGCAGCAGGCAGAGGCTTGTGATGGGACCAAGGGATCTGAATCACTTCAGTGTGGCTTTGCAAAGCGCCGTGTGAATTTTTTTTATTGTACTGTATTTACCATTCTAATTATGTTTGCTTATGTAAGTATTAAAGTTAGACTATGTTTCATTAACAGGGCCCCGGGAGGACACCAGATCACACTGTGTGGAAGAGGGGAACTAGCCTATGATGACAATTTTGCTACAGAAGTCATCCTCAGAGTGGACAATGCTAATACAGACCACGGAGAGGTTTTTATATTTCAAACCAGCTTGTCCTCTTCCTTGTGCTCCTAGCAATCCCAGGTCACCCAATCCCTAAAATTGGCAACTGGCAAGAAGAGATAAGCTAGATTTTTTTAGTAGTAACAGTCTCTCACATTCCTATAACGACAGCCAGCTTTCATGAGCACTTAGCCGCCAGGTGCTGTTTTCCACGCTTTACGTGGGATTAAAAACCTTCTTAATCCTCCGCCTTGCCCAGTGGGTATTTCTATCCCTACCTCATAAATGAGGAAAATGAGGCACAAAGAGCATAAGGAACAAACCGCAGACTAATGATGGAAAGCTAATGATGGGACCAGGATTATGACCCTGGGAATTTCAAGAATTGTGGAGCCAAAGACCTACACCCTGAACCACTTCTCAACACCTTCCCCCTTCACATGCATTGTTTCTTTTAGCCCTCACACTGCCACTGGGAAGTAGTGGGTCTTCACCCCATTTGCAAGACAGAGAGGATGAGGCTCATGAAGACTAAATGACTTGCCCACTTCACAAATGAGAAAACTGAAGTTCACCGAAGTGAGTTCAGTGCTACAGGCATGTACGCAGCAGCTGGTGCCTGCTTGGCACTGTGCAAGGGGCTTGGGATACAGAGGCCTGGGGCATAAACCATGATTGCTCCTTTCACTTGGCTTCTGGGCCATAAACATGGGTAAATCCTTTCTGAAAGCAACTGAGCAGTCTGTTAAAAGACTTAAAAATAAGTAAACTTTGGACCCCCAAATTCCCATTGTAGAAACTGATCCTAGGAAACAGAAGTGAATGTGACAAAGGTGTATATACAAGATTGCTCACAGAAGCACTGTTTAGAAGAGTAAAAGAATGGAATAACCCGAGTGTTCAACAATAAGACACTGATTGGTGAAATAAATTAGGGTATATTATATAATGAAATGTTGTTAATCATTCAAAATGTTATCCTATATAATAAAAGACTAGGTGGTGTCACATGCGTCATCATCACAAGATGGCCACCACAAGATGGCTGCCACAAGATGGCCGGCAGGGGAGGACAGTTGGGGGCAACCAGGCCTGCAAGGAGGGGCAGTTAGGTGCGACCAGGCCAGCAGGGGAGGGCAGTTGGGGGCAAGATCAGGCCAGCAGGGGAGGGCAGTTGAGGGCGATCAGGCTGGCAGGGGAGCAATTAGACGTCAATCAGGCCAGCAGGGGAGTGGTTAGGGGGCGATCAGGCTGTCTGGCAGAAGCAGTTAGGGGCAATTAGGCAGGCAGGCAGGTGAGCAGTTAGGAGCTAGAAGTCTCGGATTGTGAGAGGGTGCAGGCCAGGGGTCCCTGATTGGAGAGGGTGCAGGCCAGGCTGAGGGACACCCCCCTGCCTCCTGTGCACTGGGCCTCTAGTAGAAATGTATTTATTGACATGGGAAAATTCTGTAATAAAGTGTTATATAATTTTTAGGTGACATAAGCAGATAGCAAAATCATATATGCAGGCTGACCTGATTGGGGGAAATGCATATGTATACTGGAAAATGTGTAAATATGAGCACTCCTAGAAATACCTATGACCCCAAAGTGACTACTGCTGCCCAAAGTGACTACTGCTGATAACATTGCAGGTGATTTTAATTTTTGTTTGTACTCATGTTCATTTTTCCATATTTCCTACAATGAACATGTATTACTTATTTTATCATGAAAAGGTTTTTATTTCTGTGGTGGTTGCTGAAGTGGCTGAGCCACCATTCATATCCAGGATTCAAACTCAGGGTCTGGAATGCCAAGTCCAGCTCTCCGCCCCTTACACCCTCAACACAACTGCCCTCCTGGTCTCATGTCCCCAAACCACATCCCACCCTGAATAGCACAGACAGGAGAAACCCAGGCAGGTCAGGTGGCCTGCTTACCCACCTTTTTGAAGAGTCTGATGACATCCTCACTGATCTGTGAGAGGCGGACGATGACGTTGTTCATGAAGATGTCATTGAGGGTGGCATGGTCTCGGCTCTCCCGCCTGGTCTGATGCAGGACCAGATACCAGCAGTTCACGGGTGAGAGGAGGTACTGGTCCTTCCTGTGGAAACCAAGATGCTCAGGTTGGCTTTGTTGGAACTGTCATCCAGACAGTGTTCTGCAGGATCACTCACCGTGGCTCTCTGACCCTCATGGGGCCCTTCCAGCTCGGTTTTATTCTAACACATTCACAGGTGGGGAAACGGATACTGTGAAAGCTGAAGTGATCCTCCCAAGGTCACAGAGCAGTGCTGGGGCCAAAACTTAGGTCTTTGACTCTGAGCCCTATCCCATCTACTCTCCCATTGCATATGGCATTTGCTACATGCATCTCTCCCTTCTGGGAAGAAGCTACCCACCCCAGGGCTAAGGAATATGAAACCAGATGTGTTTGAAATACAGGCAGTCCTCGGGTTACATCGGACTCGACTTACATCCTTTTGTGGTTACGTCGCCATCTCCCATTTACAATATTTATATATATATTTTTTAAAAGTTCCGTTATTTTGACGTATGTACATATGTGCTTTATGTTTTTTATTATTTACCACAAGTAAAGGCCAGGAATTGTTATCTTTGTTTTATTGGGTTTTTTTTTTTTTACTGTTTCACTTCATTACTGCTGTGTATGTGCTCCATGTGAGTGACGTAGGTGCTTATGTAGGTGAGCTCGGACTTACGGCGAAAATCGAGTTACGTCATGCTGTAGGAACAGATCTCCGATGTAACCTGAGGGCTGCCTGTATTTGTCTGAGTTCTAGAACTATGCAGTTGAAAAAACAAAATATGAACACTTCCCTTTTCCTTCTTCTGTATTTGGGAGGTGGGGTTAAGGAAAGCTACTTTGAGTAAAGTACATGTAAGAGGAGAACATCTTTGTCCTGTAATGATGGACAGATTCTTAGCATCTTCTGGCTGGGCATTGTGCTAAAACAGGGTTTCTCAAAGTGTGGTCCTCAGGCCACCAACAGCCGAAGCACCTGGGGTCTTGTTAGAAGTGTAGATTCCTAAGCCCCTCTCTAGACCTGCTGAATCAGAAACTCTGAGGACAGGCCCAGCGATGTGCGTTTTAACAAACCCTCCAGGGAATGCTAATTCATACTAAAGTCTGAGAACCACGGATTTATATGCCACTGTTTCCCAGAGCTTGGGAAATGGGATGGTTCCAAAAAAAGAAATTGGGGAATGTTTCTCTTAAAGACCCCTCTGTTAGCCTTAGCAAAGGAGATAGATAGATAGATAGATAGATAGATAGATAGATAGATAGATATAGATATAGATATATATAGATATAGATATATAGTTTCTTCACAAAGAAAAGGGGAACTGCAATTAGAATCAAAATCAAACCCATAGTCCCATGTTACCATCTTGCCCTCTGACTGTCCCTTCCCTTACTCTGCTTTCCAGGGTATGAAGGAGATGTTGGAAAGGCAGGATGTGGGGGGAGAGTCCCATCCTCTACCTGAAGGTGGTCAGCTCAGGGTCCCCCAGGCCTGCCTTGCTCCACACGTGCCCTAAGGGTGGGGCACCTATGAGGGCTGGCCATGGTTATGCTCTCAGCCTCCCACTATCAGTGTTTTTGAGGAGGGGAAGTCTGCTGACTCTTACTTTGACCACATCATCCTCTCAAAGCCAAATGCAAGTGCTGGAGGGTGCAACCTGAGGGCCTCTGAGCTCCCACAGCACCCTGCACCCTCACCCCGCCCAAACCCTGGGCTTGGGGAGGGTAGGTGGAGCCTCTGCCACTCGACATAGAGGCATTTTCTTTCTGTTACAAAGTGGGTTAAAAATCTGTAAAGTCGCAGGAATTTGGGAGCAGGGAATTTGGTTTAGAGGACAGATATATTGGAAGCTGCCTAAGAAAAAGGGAGGAGACATGCTGCTTAGGAGAAACAAACATATTTCTCCTTTGCTTATAGCCTAGAGAAAAAGCCAGAACACTAAAATTCAACCACCCAACCCAAATCCCTCGGCCTTTACTTCCTTGTCAGGCCTCAGGTGGACCTGGGAGGGATGTGACACAGACCTGGCTTGGAGAGTCTCCTTGTCAAGTGGTAGAAGCAGAAGAAAAAGGTTACAGTGGAAGGTGATAGAGTGTCCGTTCTGCGTGAGAAGTTGGAGAAGGTGTCGCCCTCCTGTGCTCTCCTGGCTTTCAGAGCTCTTTTCACCTGAGGCCTTCACTCATGCTGCTCCCTCCGTCTGGAATATGTTAGCCCCTGCTTTTGTCATGACTGGTCCTTCTCTTCCTCTAGGTCTGTTTAAATGATACCTCTCCAGAGAGCATGCCTGTGACCACACTCCAAGACCCAGGTTCTCAAAGTGTGATCCCAGGACCAACAGCAGCAGTTGGGAATTTATTGGAATGCAGGGCCATTCCAGACCACTTAATAAGAAACCCTGGGATGGGCCCAGAATATGTGTTTTAACCAGCCCTCCAGGTGATTCTGATGCACACTCATGAGAATGTCTGCCTTAAGGAGTTTCCATCCCCTGCTCACCTGTAAATTATTTCAGAGCAAAGACTGTTTCTGTTTTAGTGACCACACCCAGTGCCCAACGATGTGCCTGATACAGAGGAGATGCTGTGGAAGAGAGACCCATAAAAAAAGGTCACATTCATGCTGGGTCTTCAAGAATGGTTAAGAGTTTTCCAAATAGAGAGGCAGAGAAAGCTGGAATTATAGACAGAGGGAACCATGGATACAAAGAGAAGTAACTCAGTAGAGCAAGAATTCCAAATGCGGTAGGAGAGGATTGGCTGGGGAGACAGAGTAAGGAGTTGATGGGAGGCTGAGGGGTATTGAATTCCAGGAAGGATAATGGATGGGTGGATGGATGGATGGATGGATGAATAGGTGGGTGGCTGGGTTGATGGGTGAGTGGATTGATGTGTGGATGGGTGAGTAGATATATGGGTGGGTGGATGGGTAAATAAATGAGTAGATGGTAGATGGGTGGATGGGCATAGGCATGGGGCTGGAAACCAGAGGACCAGTCAGAAGGTGAACTTAGTCCAAGGGAATAGAGATAATAAGGGCCTGGGAGGTGGCCAGAGAAGGCTGAATTTCAGAGACTCTTCAATAAGAGAGCAGATGATCTTGGATTCATCCTGGAAAGAGAGTAGGGGGTATGAGGGAGGGATAGATGGTGATTTTAAGGTTCAGTTCTCAGGTGATTGGGTGGATGCTGTTGACATGAACCAAGATAAGAACTTCAAGGGAAGAAATAGGTTTGGGCAGAAACCTATTTACAGATCCCATTTTTCACTGCTTCCTAGGTGGCGACGGAAATGGACAGATTAGAGTAAAGGAGAGATGAGATAATTAAGCTGTTACCTAAATTACTTTGGGGGCTTATCTCAGCCTGGGATTTGAGAACTGAATAGCATCAGGGAATTAAATGTGCAAAATTTATGGAAGTCACAGCCAGAAGGTGAGTTTTGGGGGTGGAGGGAGGAAAAAGATCTTTAAAGGGTGCAGAAGTTCTTGGATGGCTCAGGGACCATTAATTAGGCCACCTGGTCAGGGAGACTGTATGAGAGAAAGAGCAGAAAAGACAGTACTTTCCTATGAGAAGCTGTGGGCAGGATGCAATACAGCCTTAGATGGAATTACCAGGGGAGGCAGAATGAGTGGAGGCGAGGAGGAGAAAGCCACCTGAAAGCAACCAAGGACTTGTCCAAGTGAGCAGCTTCTGGGAAGACGAAGGTCCTGGCTCATTCAAGCTTTCAGTCATGCACTGCCTGTCTGTGCACATGTGCCAGGCACCACTGGATGCTGTGGATGCAGCAGACACCAGAGCAGGCAAGACCCTGATCCCACAAGCTTTCCACTTGAGTGAGGGGAACACACAAGGAAACAAGCCGATAATACAGTCTCATTCGTGGAGTGATGAGAAGGAGGCTGTGGAGCAAAGGAGGTGGTGGTGAGGTAGACATGGATGGCTTCCTAGAGGAAGCAGATTCTAGACTGAGAACTAAAGGCCGGAATGGTTTTATAGGGCAGAGCTTTCAAGGTGAAGAAATGTAATGAACAAAGGCCCCGACAGAGGCTAGAGAGAGCATGTTGGTGAGTTGAACATAGCTGAGGGGGGTTTCAGCGTGGTGTTCTGGAGTGGGGGTGGGGCCGGGACTGAAAAACGAGGTTGGAGAATTAGGCAGAGGGCACACAGACAAGGGCCTTTAAGTCCCATTAGAGAGTTTGAGCTTTGTTCTGAGGTTGGTGGGGAGCCATCGGATGGATTTGGAGCAGGGGAGTGAAAGAGTAAAATTGAATTTTCACTCTCATTCTGGCTACCATGAGAAGGATGGGCTCGCAGGAGCCGAGAGAGAAGATGAGGGGGTCCATGAAATTCTTCGGTAGTAAACTGACTGGTCTTGGAGACTGAATGGGGTGAGGGCTGCAGTTGGGAGGGAGACCACTTTCAAGTTTTCCAGGCTCAGCCCTGGAGAGAGAAGAAGTGGCATTTTCTGAGAAGAGGAGTCGCAGGTCAGCAGAGGGATTGGGAGGGAAGACAATGAGTTTTATTTGAACATGACAAGTCTATAGGGCTTATGCAACATCCAGATGGATATGCCTGGGCTAGAAAGACAAACACGAAAGCCAACATGGAGCTCACAGTCTAGTGGGGGCGGTGAGAACCCTCAGAGGTCTCAGCCAATGTGTGTGAAGTTGAGCTGCAGAAAGTGCTAGAGAGGAGAGCACGGCGCCATGAGAGCCCTTGACACATGGGACCTGACCTGACTTCAGGGGTCACTGAAGTGTCCCTGAGGAAGGGGTCTCTTGGCTGGGCTCTGAAGAAAGAGTTAAGAGGGAGCAGGGGAAGAGGTTCAGGAGCAGGGACTAAGGGGGAGCTAGTCCCAGGCAGAGGGAACAGAATGGGCAAAGGCTCACGGAGGGGCAGGAAACTCAGTGAATTCAAGGAACCGAATAAAGGCCAGTGGGGCTGCAGCCCAGAAAGCAAGGCGTAGAAGGGGGCAGGTGCAGGGTCTTGCACCTACAGGACCAGCACATGGCTCACCATCCTGTTGGCCTTATGGATTGTTTGGGAACCACAGAA